TCAATAAATACAAAATAATAAATTAAAACGCCTCTGAGTGAAAGAAATGTAACTCTGGCACTTCCTGGAAATCTCGAATCCGCGATCTTGTGATCTATTGTTGTTTGCATGCAACTTCTACTATTAATATGATTTGCGATTAATTCGATTTCACTTTAGTTTTCAAGCATTTTTTCTCCTTTACATACATACCTCCTTTTTATTCTCTACACTATTGCACCACATCTTTCTCTTACCTACAGTCTTCAACGTCTTGATCATAACAATTTATCGCGCTTTTTGCAGCTAATTTCTGCCATGCATTTGAGTTGTAGTTTGTGTGTAATATGGTTTGACCGATCTGATTTTTTTTGTTTAATTACCCGTGCTCGAGATTTTGAATCACTTCGCGCTTTTGTGTTATTGTGGTGGTCCTCGCTGAACATTTAGCTAAAGGAGCTTCCCATCTATCTTGGATTGATAGAGAAAGTGTTGTTCAATTTGGATTTGTGCCTCTCACGTCAGGGATCCTTTAGTACTCATTTTTAGGAACTAGTCTCCGTGAGTCCTGATAGGAACATCTAGAATTCGAGGAGAACTCGCACCGGTCATCTCATTACGGCTCTGTTACCCGAATTCCTTTTATCTCGAACGGATGCTAAGTTGAACAATCATGAAAATATTTATTACGGCACAAATACTTGTAAAGATAGCAGAACATTGAGATCGTTGGTACATTCTTGAACCGAAATTAAAAGCACTGTTTGTATGAGGGATAGTGACCAGATTCTTTTAAACGATAACAAAACAATATAAAAGAAACAAATGCTATAGGAACGGCGTGGTGGGAGCGGCTACATTACAGGGATCATCGGCTATTCGGCCAATTCTTTCCGCCACATTGCTCCTATTTCGACCACGCCGACACACCCGAGAGCAATAAAAGGGCGACCCATTCAAACCTGTCCGCCGGAAGCGCATAGTTTTTGCGATAACGCTCCGGAAGTGACTTTTTTTGAGAAGCCGATAGTGTGCCGGCGAGTCTTTGTACTTACCATAACAAATTTCAACAAAACTATTCGAGGTTAAGACATGCGCTCATGGCATCTCCATGAGACAGTAAGACGACTGCTCTCGAGATCGTCGAGGAAGGATCTCTTTCAGGCACTCTTCGATTCGTTGGATGCGGTTGTCAAAAATCTGAAAACGTTTACTAAATCTTCAGATTTACTCATTCTCAATTATATGATTCATTTCATTTTTATTCACGTTTGGTGTAGCGGCTAGTGGCACGATTACCACTAGGGTTCAAACCACTGATCGACACGTGCCCAGGCCACTCTCCGGTAACGGCAAATTGGTACCAGATCCGTCTGGGAGGATAAAAATACTGACCTGTACATAGGCTAGCCCCAGCAATTCATTGTATAGGCCACATCGCATTCAATAAGCCACTCCTTTTCTGAATGGAAGTAGAATGCGTGCCGAATCCCTTAAGGGACTGGTCAGCGGCAAAGACATT